GTGGTGGCCTTGATCTACCATGCTTAAATAGCTGCCAGCATTAGCCTGCTTTCCTGCTTACATGTCAGCAACATGCCACGTGTCGTCAATGTTTCCCGGAGGCTGTCATAGAAAGCATGTGACACTGTCTCTGCTGCATGGACTATCCCTGATGCCATCATCTGCCACATCCTCTCCTAGCATGTCCCACATCCAGTGTTGGGCATACACCTCCTGCCACTGCAGGCGGATTTCCTTCGTCCTTGCGTGCTTTCCGTGGAATTTGCCCATCAATTTGAATTTTGCGGAACATCAGATGTCATTGAATAATTGTTTGACAATGTGTCTAACAGTATGCGTTCTTGCATTGTGTGAATTTGTATCATATGCATGGATACAGAACCTCGCGCCCCTCATCCATGATAAATCAAACACTAAAGACAAGATGGGAACGCGACTCACCTCTAAAGCCGGGGTCGATGGACAACCCACCCTGGGCCGACTGTGTCAAAATCATGCCCACTACCCAAAGAGCCCTCCAATGGCAAATCCTACATCGCTGCCTGCCTACCCCCGATTGGTTGGTCTTGCGAACAGACCTGGAACAAAGAGGGCTGCTGTCACCCATCTGCAACTACTGTGGCAGGTCATCACCGCCGGCCCGGGCAACGCTGGACCACTGCTTGCTCGCTTGCCCCATGGTTACCCAAATTTGGCAGTGGTGGGATGCAGCCTTCCACTCCCTCACGGGTCTGTGCATCCCGTGGGACCTGGGTTTGCTACTGCTTGGGAAAAAACACCCGTCGCAATCTCATTGGTCATCCTATGCAACCAACCTGTTCTCATACATGAGATTGCAGGTCCTTATGCTGGCTTGGAGAGCCCGATGTGCCTTTGAAAGAAGAGACCACCAGTTCGGGTTGATACAGGCCCAACAAGCGATAGAGGAGGACATCAGATCCCATACTCAAGAAGCCTGGAGGAAGTTCGTGGTGAGCTACAGGAAGGAAAATGATCACGCGGTCAAAGCAATCCTTAAAGAAGCGTACCTCCAGACATGGCAGGACCCGCACAGAAGATTCTCCAAACTGGGGGACGACCTTAACATCCGGTGGAAACACTGGCGAAGCTCGGAGCCTTCGTGGCAACGGAGACCTTTCCATAACTTCCAGGTCCCCTACCTGCAACCTAACTTCGTGCTGGTCTCGTGACACCCCCGGGGTCACCCCCCCGCTTGGGGCCCAGACTGTCGCACCTCCAGGACCAACTCCCAGTCCCCTTCTTCCCGGCCCGCGCCCCCCCCCCCCCCCCGCCCCACCCAACTCCCCGCCCTCCTCCTACCCCCCCAACTTTGCCCCCCCCGTCGACACCTTGCCACCTGTAACCTGGGAAAAGGGAGATTGATCTGGGAAAAGGGAGTCTGGGGATGGCAGATGAGGGCGACAGAGTACAGCCATCAGATATCAGATTTGGTGCGAGACACAGCAACGAAGAACTGGAATGGGGGACTGGAGTGAGCAGAACCGAAGTCAGCCGCTATCCTGGGCCTCCGCAGAGCAAGATCAAACATATGACAGCAATACCAAGCAACAACAATGCAGTGACAACAGGAAAGGACGGGGGTGCTCCTTAGGAGCAGCAGCCACGGCCCCCGCCCTTCCCTCTTCGGGAGCTTCTACGGGACGCCGGATCTGGTTCCCAGCAGGCGCCGCTTCCCTCCAACCATGCAAGGCCTCTGAGAGAGGGACAGGGCTTAGGGGTCTGAAATATCTTCCAGGTGGGACTGAAGCATGGCATGAGGTTAAGGCTACAATGGGTACAAAGGGTTTCTGATCTACAGGGGTCAGGATATGGGGGGCTGCAATCTGAGGATAGTAGTCCTGCCAGTGGCAGCAGCAGGAGGGTGGATATCATATCACGGTGGGCACCATCCTGGGTGGGGCCGGGCCACCAGGGAGTAGGAGCTAGACAAATTGGAAGGGTGAAATATGCAGCCCTGAGGGAAAGTGAGTTGTTCTGAAGCATGAACTATAATGGCTATGGGCCCAATAATGGCAGAACCACGATGATGTATCTATGGGACGCTGGGCCCGGTTCCCGGCAGGTGTTGCTCCCCACCAATAGATGGAGCCTCCCCGCCGGTGCTAGAGGTGTCTGCTCTTATCAGCACATCTAGCACCTGATCGGGTTGTTCAAAAAAAAAAAAAAAAAAAAAAAAAAAAAAAAAAAAAAAGAAAAGAAAAGAAAAGAAAAAGAAAAATCAAGATGATAGATATTACATTGACGATAAAAAAAGGAATGTAGTAATTTTTGTATTTTTTTATAATAGATTTACTAATGAGGGCATGGGTGCAGGTGCGCAATAGCAGCCCCTGCTCCCTGAGGTGGCTGGTTCCAGGAGGGGATGGCTCTCCTGCTGCTTCTTTTCATCTTTACAGACTTTACTCCCCCTCCCCCTCCCCCCTTCCTCCTTTTTCCTTTTTCTCTTCTTCTCTGTCTTGTTGTCGAACTTAGCATTGTGAGTAATGAGCAACCAGATTGCTGCGCCCCCACTGGCACCCAGAATAGATGGGGCCATCCCCCACTGGCACCCAGAATAGATGGGGCAGACTGAGTGTGTTTTGCGTCACGGTGTGTGAAAAAGAACCTGATTTGGGCCTTCCCCCCACCCCAGGCATCCACAATCTCTTACCGCTCTCACCTTTGTGTCGTTCTATTTCTATTCATATGCGAGCAGAATGGCCAACCCCACCTCAGGCTGGTTAAAAGGAGGAAAGACGAAAGAAGAAAAAGTCCTTAATTGAAGGAGCATAATTGCCAAACCGCCCCCTAATTTCTGATACCGAATGGGAAATGACGTCTTGGACCCTCACCACTGGTCAAACTGGGTTGGGTGTCCCCCTCAAACGGTCATCAGTGGCTTCCATCTGTTCTGGACTGGAGCAAATGATGGCAGCCAGTGTTATACAACATCAAGAGGGACTGCAAGTTCATTAATTACTACCCCTATAATTGGACTGCTACTGCAGCAAAAGACCTTACCCTTGATTCCAGAGACTGGTACTGGTCAGACCCTCGTCGGTCTGATCAGACCCTCCCTCTTATTCAACACTGCGCTTGTATGGCATATGCCAAACTCTTGCCTGATGTAGATATTGATTAGGATATCATTACTAAATGGCGCAAATATGGACTAACTATCCACCAGACTAACCTCACCGCCGTCTGGCACTTCTTGCCCTCTCTGGTTGTAGCTAAGCATGCTGGCCTGCTCTGGCTTATTCTGCATAATGCTGTCCCAACTGCTGCCTTCCTATAGCGTCGACGGAAACAAGGCTCCCCCTTCTGCACTGTCTGCTCTTCAGGTCATTTGGTGGAAGATCAGGAACATCTTTGGGCCACATGCAAACTTGATCAATCTATTTGGACAATTGACAAAGCTGCTTGCCCTCTTCCGGTTTCATGGGGAGATTTGTGGTCCACCAATGCTATCCTGCTGGGAACGGCACTGCTACATCTCACCAAACCGCAAACTTATATCTACGAAACAGTCAGGGCGGCTATTCTGTGGCAAATATGGCGACAACGAAATGCTGTGGTCAGATCTGCAGATCTCCCGTCGGCTCCACAAGTGATGCAACGACTAAAGAAGGACATACGCCATGTCATCTGTTTGGATTGGGGTAAAACGATTGGCTCATCAAGGAACTTGTGTGCAGATGTCCGGTGGTTCCGTCAACACTGGGCAAGCTGCCCATCCCTGGCATCCATAGATGCCTGTACTGGATTGGAGACTACTTGTTACAGGGGAGGGGCTCCGCCTCATGCAGAAGGATTGGAGACCTGGCTGCCCCTGAATCTGGAATCCCATCATTTTGTGTATATTGCCTTGGGCACTGGGCCCTAGTATGATTGAGATTTGCCCATAAAAAATAAAAATAAAAAAAAAACGCCCCCTAATTGCCACCCCCCCCCTGGTTGAAGGGGCATAATTGCCAAGCCCCCCCCCTTGGTTGACGGAGCATAATTGCCMACCCCCCCCCGCCCTCGTTGGACCAGGAGAAAACTTTTTTCTTGCATCTTTTATTTGTTGACTTAAATTCTCTTGTGATGATTTAGAACTGGAAAGACTTTTGAGAATGCAATTACAGTTGGAAAAGCATATATATTAAAGCTTATTCACCAAGTAGACGATAACCAGGAGAAAAGTGAGAGGAGTTGAGCGTTATCACTGTTATGGGAACTTATGATGGCAACTTTTAAAAATGTACATCCTCTAATCACGGTGGTAAAAAAAAAGTAAAAAGGAAAAATATTCGAAAAATAAATAAAAATCGCTAGTGATGGTGCTGAGTCTGTCAGCCAGCCTCCCACTGTGTGACGACGACTCTTCATTCAATTTGTGAAGAGGCTGCTACACGAGTTCTAAAATGACCAGGTGAGAGAGAGAGAGAGAGAGAGAGAGAGAGAGAGATTTGACACAAATGCTAAAATTAATATGATTCAGAAGTCAAGCCAACATTTGTGAAACAGACATCCCTCCCTTCAGCTCATCATCATCACCATCATCGTCGCCATCATCGTCATCGTCATTATCATCCTCATCATTGTCGCCGTCATCATCAGCGTCATCATCACCATCCTCGTCGCCATCATTGTAATCATGAATGGTCCTCAAGAGCACCAACGGCTTTGCAATGGTCTCACTTGTGACGCTCACTGAGCTTCCATATCCACTTTTTGACTGTTTTTTTTTTTGTTTTTTTTTTTGTTGAAGTTTCCATATCCACTTTTTGACTGTCAATTCTTACAGTCAGCAACTCTTTGATACACGTGGAGGCCGCCTGCAGGCTGACAGAGAGAGGCCAACTGTAGTCGGTATTGCCCACACACATCAGCAAATCCATCCACTCGTTATGGCACTCCTCTCGACTCTGTTTTCTCTCATCGATAGGGCTTCACTCACTGGATGGACGGAACTGGTGTCATGCACACCTGCTTGTGGTTGGCCCAGTCCTTTTTCTGACATTCTTTGCCGCAGTAGACTGTCATCTGCACAGAGAGAAGGGGGGGGGGGGGGGGTTGTGTAGAAACG